ACAGGGAAAGTAGACAGTGAAATGCATAGAGGCATGCATAGGGCAAGTACAGAGTGAAATGAACAGAGGCATGCGAAGGGAAAGTAGACGGTGAAATGCAGAGAGGCATGCGCAGGGAAAGTAGACAATGAACTGCGTAGAGGCAAGCATAGGGCAAGTACAGAGTAAAGCTCGTAGATCTATGCACTTCACTGTGTGCTTGCCCTGTGCGCGCCTCTCTGCAATTCATTGTCTACTATGCCTGTATGCATTTCACTGTCTACTCCCTTGCGCATGCATCTATGCGTTTCGCTGTCTACTTGCCCTATGCATGCCTCTATGCCTTTGCGCTTTGTCTACGCGTGCCTCTATGCATTTCACTGTCTACTTTCCGACTTTGCAGCCGGAGCTGCGGGGACGTACTTCCTGTACTACTTTTGCACTTTAAAGTTGCGACTTCGCAGCCTGATCCCTGCAGGCGGTCGCGCGCAGACCACGAAGATTCACACGGGACCATGGCAAGAGCGATCTGACACGCGCAATCCCCGCGGAGGGTCGCGCGCCCCCCGCACAGGGTAAAAACGGAAAATCCGCGAGTTTTTCGACCTCGCCGATTTCCGCGCCGATCCCCGCAGAAGGCCGCGCGGCCCGCAAGACTCGTAAAACACAAAAACTCAGTTTTGCACATCGATGACGCCGATCCCCGCAGAGGGTCTCGCGCGGCCCACAAGACTCGTAAACTAGACCACGGTTGGCCCGAAAGCAGAACATCGCAAGCGAGGTCGGCCCAACGCTGCAGAATGCGTTCTTTTTCCCTCCACGAAGCATTTGTGAAGCAAGCGCGAGACAGCACCAGGCAAGGTGCTCTGCGCTAACTGGTCGGTGCAAGTTGGTCTGCGCAGGTTGCTCTACGCAAGTTGCAATGTGCAAGTTGCTCTGCGCAAGTTGCTTCGCGCAAGTTGCTCCGGCAAGTTGGTCCCTGCAAGTGGCTCCCTGCAAGTTGCTCTGTGCAAATTGCGCTCCCTGCAAGTTGCTCTGTGCAAGCTGCTCTGCGCAAGTTGCTCTGTGCAAGTTGCTCTGCTTAAGTTGCTCTGCGCAAGTTGCTCTAGGCAAGGCGCTCTGCGCAAACTGGTCGGCGCAAGTTGGTCTGCGCAAGTTGCTCTGTGCAACTTGCTCTGCGCAAGTTGCTCTGCGCAAGTTGCTTAAAATGCAAGTTGCATCTTGCGACGCCCGCCCGCGGACCAGGGAGGAATCGAACCCGCGACCCGCCGGTTCCGGGAGCAGGCGCGCGAACCACGAGACAACTCCCGAGGACCAGTTCGAACAACAAAAGTTGCAAAAAACCTCGAGTTTTTGCACCTCGACCACGCCGATTCCCGCAGAGGGTTGCGCGAGCACCGCAGAAATCGCAAAAAACCTCGAGTTTTTGCACCTCGACCACGCCGATCCCCGCAGAGGGTTGCGCGGGCACCGCGGAAATCGCAAAAAAAAACATGGTTTTTGCACCTCGACCACGCCGATCCCCGCAGAGGGTTGCGCGGGCACCGCAGAAATCGCGAAAAAAAACATGGGTTTTTGCACCTCGGGCGGGGTAGTGCCGACGACACTACACGAAAATCGACCCTCTGCGGGGATTGGCGTGGTCGAGGTGCAAAAACCCATGGTTTTTTGCGATTTCTAAAGTTCCCGCGCGACCCTCTGCGGGGATCGGCGTGGTCGAGGTGCAAAAACCCATGGTTTTGTTGCGATTTCTGCGGTGCTCGCGCGACGCTCTGCGGGGATCGGCGATTGCACTTGACTCCTTGCACTTGCAACTTGTACTTGACTCCATGCACTTGCAACTTGCACTTGCAATGACTCCTTGCAATGACTCCTTGCAATGACTCCTTGCAATGACTTTCATGATGATGATTCCTTGCAATGACTCATTGCAATGACTCCTTGCAATGACTCCTTGCAATGACTTTCATGATGATTCCTTGCAATGACACCTTGTAATGACTCTCATGAGAACAACTCAAGTGAACCCAGCGGAAGAACCTTTCGCCATGCTTTCGGGAAAAAGCACCCCTCAGTTTTTGCACATCGATGACGCCGATCCCCGCAGAGGGTCTCGCGCGGCCCGCAAGAATCGTAAAACAAGAGCTGGAAACACGAACAAACCCGTACAGCCTTTGCAACACAGCAGCAGCCAGTTCATCCTTCGAGAGTCTGCGGCCGTCAGGAAACTGTTGCACCTGCAGCTGCCTCGCCAGCGCAGTGATATCCTCCTCGCGCCTGGCTGCAATTGCCCTTTCAAGCCACGTCAGGCCACGACGAGCCGCGCCTGCCTGGAGTCTAGCTGCTTTGCGCTCCATGATACGCGCTTGAGCCGATGCTGAGAGAGCAGCACGCAACGACAAGTCCCAGCATCCTGCTATCTTGCCACCTATCGGACCCCCCTCACATGAGTTTGCCAAGCGCGTCAAAGATGCCACATATATGATGACTCTGTGCAATGACTCTCATGATATGAATACTCTGTGCAATGACTCTCGTGCGTTCAACGACTCTTGTGTGATGACTCTGTGCGACGGCTGTCATGATGACTCTGTGCAGTGACTTGCATGAAAATAATTCTCCCAACGGAACAACCTGACTTGTGCTAGCTGCTCTGTGCAAGTGCTCTGTGGAAGTTACTTGCGCAGGTTGCTCTGCGTACGCGCTCTGTGCAAGTTGCTCTGCGCAAGTGCTGGTGGAGCTTTCAGGAAGTGCTTTGCATACTAGTTTTCTACTTGAAAAGTTCCATTACGAAGCCGCAGCTGTGGAACTGTACGCGGAGTACTATGTTTGCGCTGAAAAGTTGCGATTTCTTCTGTCCCTAGAAAAAAAAACAAAAAAAATAAAAATAAAAAAAAAAAAAAAAAAAAAAGAAAAAACCAAAAATAAAACAAAAAAAAAAAATAAAAAAAAAAAAAAACAAAAAAAAAAAGCGCCGCGGACCAGGACGGGATCGAACCCAGCGACCGTGCTACTCCAGAGCAATCCGCCAACACCACGCGCACAACTTCCAAAGACCATTTCGCAAGTCAAACACAACACACAAAGCATACAGATCATACAAAATTCGCACGGCGCCGCAGCGTGAGTGCTTTGACACGCACGATCCCAGCAGAGGGTTCATCGGGCACTTTGCAAATTCGCGCGGCGCCGCAGCGACAGCGCTTCGACCACGCCGATCTGCGCACAGGGTCGCGCGGGACTGTTAATAATCGTACAAAAAAACAAGACATAAAAACAAAATAGAAAGAAAAAAAAAACAAAAAACCATAAGAAAAACCGAAACAAAAGAAAAATAAAAACAAAACCAAAAAGAACAAAAAACCCCTCCACCACGACTACCAGCACATAACACCCCCACACCCCACGCACACCAACCTCCCGACCCCCTCAACCATACCGACGCCCACCCCCCTCTTGCCCCCCTGCCCCACCCCCCCTCCCCCTCGCCGCCGCCCCAACTGCGCCTCCCCTCACCCACCCACCCCCTCTCTCGGTATCCCCACCACACCCCCCCATCCCTCCCTCGCCCCCCCCGCCCACCCCTACCCCCGTAAATATAAAACATCGCCCCCCGCCCGAAGACTTGTCCGCAAGAGGGTCGCGTGCGCAGATCGAGACAACGCAACCATTCTTCAGCTTTTTAACCTAGACCATCCGATCACCGAAGAGGGTCGCGCAAGCATTCAACAGATCCAGGAAGTAAGGCAGCCGCAGAACTCGTAAAATCTCCACAGTTTTTTAACGTCGACCGCGGCGATCTCCGCAGAGGGTCGCGCGCGCAGATCAGAAATCGCAAAAGTTCTCAGTTTTTTAACGTCGACCACGCTGATCCCCGCAGCGGGTTGGTTTTCGTAGAGTGCTGTCGGCCCTACCCCGCCGCACTAAGAAGAGAAGAACCCATCTCATGAGAACTCTCATGAGCATGACTCCTCGCAATTGACTCTCATGAGCATTGCTCCTTGCCAGTGACTCTCACGAGCGTTGCTCCTCGCCAGTGATTCTCACGAGCATTGCGCCTCGCAAGTGGCTCTCTGTGCAATGACTCTGTGCAATGGCTCTGTGCCAAATGACTCTATGCAATGACTCTGTGGAATGACTCTGTGCAATGACTCTGTGCTATGTCTCTGTGCACTGAGTCTCATGCTGATAATTCTTTGCAATGACTCTCATGATGATAATTCTCATGAACCCAACGGAAGAACCCTTCGCCATGCTTTCGCGAACAAACAACTTGCCAGAATGAGCCTCGTGTGCCCAAAACGGTTTCTGGCATGGGATTTCAGGTTTCTAAGGGACAGTGCAGCGCTTTCAGCCTCCAAAGCCTGCATTTCAGGGACAGCGCAGCAAAACGCTGTATACTGCTTCCACAAGTTCCATCTGAACCCTGCTAACTCTGTGTCCAAAAAAACCATCTGCAAGCATCTGCTTCAAGTTGCCTAACATCTGCAAATCAAGAATAGTCACTTGCTGAACTGCTCATCAAACATGATCTTTTCCTGATTTGCTCATCAAGAATGATGCTTGTTTTTGACCCCAATTTCTAGGATCAGAATCCTGAAGCAGGTGGTCAAAAACAAGCATGTTACCTGTGTTTTTCCAGTGCTTTTTGCTCGCAAGACGTAGAATGCGGATCTTGGGGCGGGGGGGAGGTGACCATATATTATATATATATATATAAAAGTAGGATGATGATGATGATGATGATGATGATGATGATGATGATGATGATGATGATGATGATGATGATGATTAGTATTATTTCCTTTTTAATTTTACAGTTGGACTCGACCTATCGCTACTGGACATTGGTTTTCTCCTTTTTCTAAGATGCTTAGACAAACGCAAACGGAAGTTGAGGCGAGTTCTAAGTCTGGAGGGCAAGGCTCTTTGGGGAAGCCCCGCCACTTCCATGAGAACTGTGGCTTTTCCATTTATGTTTTTTCAGGGAATCCCTCCACGACCCCGGCCGCAGCCCGCAGGTGTCGCTGCCGGGGGCGGTGGGGAGCCCCCCCGGGCTGGGGCCCACTGCTGCGGCGGCGCTGGCGGCCATGCGCGGCGCCCGAGGGCGCTCGAGGGCTTCGTGGGTCTGCGTTTTTTTTTGGGGGGGGGCACGGTGAAACGATGTTTTCGGGTCGGGGAGACCTGGCGCCGTTTTTTTTGCGCCGTTTTTTTTTGGGAGAATGGGGCCCGTTTTTTTCCCCCCTCTTTTTTTCTTTGTCCGTAGACCAAGAGGAAAGGCGAGAGATCCGGGTTTTTGGGGTCCACATTGGTTCCAGCTTGAGACAAATCCGCCCGCCCACCTGACACCTGTCAAACTTGGCCCGAGGAAGAGGCTCTCTGCAGTCAAAGGGCTTCCTCAATGCGCAATACTGATTCGGGCGGTTGTCCATGGCAAGGAAGGTTGGATCCCCTGTTCCCTTACGCAGAGGGTCGCTTCAAGAGGCTGGGAATTGGAAGCTCGGCGGAGGTTACTCGTGTGAGTTGGGATGGGGAACTCCTCGGCTTGGAGGCTGACTTGAAATGGACTCGTTTGGCAGCATGTCCGGGTAACGCTTTGGTGAGCATTGGCAACGCCTCAAGCAATGAGAGCGCAACTCAAGGGGTTGGATTTTGGAGAGTTGTTGCGCCTGAAGACTAAGGAAAAAGGACCAATAGACCGAGAAACGCACAAACTCAACCAAAAGATGATAGTTCTCCCTCCCACCAATAAGACTGGTCCCTTGAAAAGGAAAACGGTCCAAACCAGGACACCCATGACAGGTTCCATTGGTGGAGGGTTCTCAGCTAAAGGGAGGGAATAACACGGAGCCAACAACAAAACACGGAATAACACGGTCTCACGTTTTTCGGAGCGAATTGAACCAATACCAGCACCCAGCCAATACCAAAGCAGCGCTAAACCGATACAAACCTGAGCTTGGCAAGCCAGTAACGGCTTCGCCAATGCTTTCTCACAGTTGCCTTTTTGCCCCGAACTGAAAGCTTTGGGGTCTCAGCCCAGATGGGCTCCGGGGTGGTTCGGGGCGACGGTTCCACCAGGGTTTCACCAGCGTTCCACCAGCTAGGTTCCACCATCTGCGAGCCAGGGTTCCACCAGGTTCTGCAAGGGCTGCGGGGTGGTCTGGGGTGGTTTGAGGTGAGGTTCCACAAGGGTTCCACCAGGGTTTCTTCAGGTTCCACAAGGGTTCGACCAGCAGGGTCACGGCTGCGGTCCACAAAAGTTCCACCAAGGTTTTACCAGAGTTCCACCATCTGCAAGGGCTGAGGTAAGGTTCCACAAGGGTTCCATCAGATTTGCGAGGGCTGTAGGGTGGTCCGGGGTGGTTTGAGGTAAGGTTTGACAAGGTTTCCACCAGGGTTCCACGAGGGTTCCACCAAAATTCCACCAATTTCGCGGGGGTTTGGGCTGAGGAAGGTTCCACGAAAATTGCGGGCTGGTTTGAGGTAAGGTTCCCTGAGGGTTCCACCAGGTAAGGTGGATCCAGCACGGTTCTAGCAGGGTTTCACAAGGTTCTGCAAGGGCTGCGGGGTGGGTGGTCTGGGGTGGTTGAGGTAAGGTTCTATGAGGGTTGCAGGGTTCCACGAGATTCTGCGAGGGCTGTGGGCCCTGAGGTTTCACAGGGTTCCACAAAGCTCTGCAAGGATTCCACGGGTTCCACAAGGCTCCACAATGTTCCGCCAAGGGTTCCAGAAATGTTCTGCAAGGTTGTGTGGTTTGCCCTGGAGGGAAGCAGTGTGTCGTGCGCCCGTCGTCTGAAAAGCCATCGGATCAAAAGCCATCGGATCAAGATCTCTTTGCTCATGGGCGGAACACTAAGCAAAACCGAAATCCATTGTTTTTAGCACACTTTCACTGTTTTGTGACATGCTGACCTGCTCAGGCAAATGTTGGCTTTGTGGCAAATTAGATCACGTCGCTGCGGGACTCACGGTGCAGCAGAGTAAATGCTTGGCATTGCTGCTTGGTGGGCTTGTCATCGCCTAGTATTCTGGAATTCAACCACCATTTTTTTCGGGTTCTTCTCTTTTGACCCCGTTAGCATCAACCGCAATTGAAGAACCCCTGATATTCGCAAAGACATTTCCAGGTTTGGGTTTTAGAGGTGAGGTTCTGTACCACTTATAGGGGAAACACCTGCCAAGGAAGCTGACATGGTTGTATATAAGCATCTGCAAACATACCTGAAAATGCCCTTGCTTGATTATCTCCATTTATGGTCCCACTTTCCCTTATGGGGAAGACTTTCTGCAAATTAAGAGTCAGAATTGACTTGGCGAGCGACCGGCCTCAGGCGAGCTTTGGCCCCGCCTGGCTTGGTGGAGGAGGCCTCACCGGACCTGGCGAGAACAGGGGGAACTGCCCAGAGTTAAACCCCGGGGAAGCGGAGGGTAACTTCCTTTTGCTCAAGAATATCTTTTTCCCTGTTGGTTTTGGGGGCTTAAGCAAATGGCAGGTGAGGGACAATGCCAGCCATACATGGGTCCGGATAGCCTCCTTGGTAATCCTTTACATGGTTCTCGGTCGACCATTTTAGTAACGGGCTTTGTCAACAATGCCATGGATGGTTGCGAAATCCCTTTCCCCATTGAGAAACCCGATTCCGCTGTAAATACCAACAAACAATGGTGTCCCATGGTAAGTTGTGGAGGATTTCGTCCATCCACAGGGTACACCAAAGTGGGTTGCTCTGGTACATGGAAGGACTAAAACCTGCGGTCCATATGGTGGCGACTCATGTTGATCCATTTGGCCTCTTTGGCAGGCACCTCCAAAAGGCGATCGTTTGTTTCGAGTTTGGAAGGAACTGCGATTGTCGTTGGGGACGATCAGATCAGCTTGCCAACCGCGCAACCAGGTTGCATGTGCCCCAAGGGGAACGCCACTAGTGCGGTTTGATGGTCGAGTAGTCAGCTGGGCCAGCTGTCACCGTGGCCTGGCGTGCCTCAGATCCTCTGCTGTTGCGAGCATATTTCGGCACCTTCTCACGACATGAGGGCCACCCTTTGAAAGACAAGACACTAGCAATGCAACAACATAATTTGGAACGGCGGCGCAACAGGGCAGCTGGCACCTTCAATGAGACCGACCAGCCAACCGGTACGATGCCCTGAAGTCACCATAAGCCCAGGGGGCCATGGGGCATAACCTATGGCTCCATTTTGAGGTGGATGAACATCCATTTGCCGCCTATTTTGATGTTCACCAGGGGTACAGGGTTTTGACCCACAGCCAGGTCACCAAGTGAACCAGGTCTCAATTTACTGGGGCGATTCGATGCCGAACGGCTTGCCGCGAGGAATCCGAGGAGGCGCTGGGAGCTAAGCAGCCAAGGGGAAGAGTGCGCCATGGGAACGGACATTCAAAAATCATGGCTTCATTACTTGGTCTCCCAGCCACCCCTTAGCTTTTTAGGTTAGTTGGTTCTGTGGTTGGGTTTCCGAATTACAAGTCCGCCAGAAATTCTCCCAACGATGCCGTCATTTTCCGCGTTGTCGGCTTGAAGAGGCGGCGGTTTGCTCGGTTTTTTGTTTCTTGTTTCTTCGGCTGAGGGCCTGGGAGCCGGCGATCGCCAGCCCTGAGCTGGGAGCCAAAGAAAAAGGAGGGAGGTGGAGCGAGGGAGAAGAAGGGAGATGGTTTACTGTGGGTTGGTTTAGGGTTGTTTGGCTCCGGGTTTAGGGTGGGTTTAAGGTGGGTTTTGAGAAGGTTTGGGTGGGTTTAGGTTTGAACCCCTTTTCAGCAGTCTCCTTACCTGCTGCCTGGCGGCTGCCGTGTTGACCTAGAAAGGCTTTGCGCTTCAGTTCTTTCGGCTCGGTGCCATGCACGGAGCCGTCCTGAAGCCTCAAGCTGGCCTGAAACATGCAATGGGTTATTGGCCCCAAAAGTACTGGGTGACTCCCTTTTTCAAGGTCCAGGTTCCTTCATTTCCCTTTCAACTAGTGTTGGAGGGAGATGGGAGGGAGGGAGCTCAACAGCTAGGCTCGTTTTTCAAGCTGATTTCTGACCAGATGAGCGTTGGAGAAAGAACCTCTTGGAGTGTGGCTAGGCATAAGCCTCCCAAGCTAAGCTTTAGCAACGAGTAGCAGGTGTTTGCATGCACAAGGCATGTCATGACTGGAGTCCGGAGGGGGCAGATGGTGTTGGGGCAGATGGCAGCTTGATCCTGCATTGCATTTTGCCTTGACATCGTCATCGCTTTCGGATTTCGGCTAAACCGTGCCCTCAGGCAAGATCGCCACTTGGGTCGAAAGGCAAACCGCTTCGGCGTTGTATGTATCCCCCGCCCAAATGCGCAAAAATCCCACCGCGCCGAGGTTGCCATTTGCAACTGCCCAATCACCCAAGGCCGGATGTCTCGTCAGATGTCCATGTCGCGACTTTCTGAAACTGCGCCGCGGTGTCTTGCAGTTCTCCTCCAAGTTGTTTGTTTTGCTGGTCGGTTGTCTAGTTGTTTCTTGCTCTGTTTTGATACACCCTCAAGTTGGTGTGTGCTATGTGAGACATGTGCAGCTGGTGCAAGGTAGGGACCCCAAGAATCTCTCGCGTTGGTCGTTCCCAGTGCAAGCATGGCGACGGATGGCCAGGTCGAGCCCAAGCTGGGCGAGAGGAGCGGGTGCGAGTCGTTGCAGCCCAAAAACGGCCGGTGGTTCACTCGGTGGTTCCCAGCGAGTCGTTGTTGCAGCCTGAGGCTTTTAGGTTTTGGGGTTCAGTGGTAGCTTCCGCTAGGGGATCAGAAGGCGGCCCAGTTCATTGATGGCGTGAGGAAGATCCAGGGGTGGCGTCTGGAAGGTTGACTTTCACTGTAGGGAGGTCTGTAGTTGTCCAGAACTGGGCTCCGCGAATCGAGGAAGCATTGATCCGATAGACCGAGATGGTGGCTTTGTTTGCTTTGTGCCGCCTGGGGGAGGAGATGCAACAAAGAGATGACTGATTGCGATAGGGCAAGTGGGGACGCGTTGATTGAGACCTTGCAGAAAGTCGGGGGCTGCTAACTCGGTGGCTCCCAGCCATCCGCCATCCCCTTAGCTTTTTAGTTGTTTTTAGTTGGTTTAGTGGCTGGGTTTCCATTTAGCTAGAGTGGTGCCATGGCGGTGACGTGGATGCCTCTGCAGGACGCACTCCTTTGGAGTCTTCGAGCAACCCAGGACAGACGGATGCCGGGTCTCAAGCCGACCAGTGCTTGGATTTCCAGTGACCAAATGGCTGTGGGTCAAAAATGGAGACCATCATGGCACCTTGGTAAATGGAATCAACGACTAACACCTGCGGTTTGCCCTAGCTCTGCAATTTTGAGCCACACTCAAATGTCAGCAATTGGATTTTGCCCGCAATTTGACTAACTCTGACATACGCCCAAGTCTTTAATAAGGTTTAGTTCCCAGTACAGCTATCTGGTTTACTTTGTTTTTTTTTTGCGAAACCCATTGGACCCACAACAAGTTGAAAGTTTTTGCAGAGGGCAACCCTTAATTGGTGGTTTGGATTGGTGGTTTGGATTTGGATTTGACTCCTTGGTTCTTGAGGGTAAATGGGGACCCCCTCCAAAAAACCGCCAAACTACAGATTCGGCTTCAAAGCATCAAGAGTGAAGCTGATTTGACGGCAGGAGCACTGTCTTCTCGAACAGCGGCGACTTGCACAGGCTGGCGGTTGCGGGTTGCGCGCCGTCCTTTGATCAGGTGTGCGGCGGGCGACGCGTTTTTTCGGCTGCGTACGGGAAAGTATGCTGGTTTTGGAACGGGCTGCTCAAATATGGGCGTGTCTTTTTCGAGGTTTCAAGGAGACCATAAGGACACCCACATATGTTTCTTTTTTTGGGGGTCCCCTAAAGGAGACAAATCCAGATGTTCCTCCCGAGAACTGATGACAAGGATGAACCTAAGAGGGCAAAGTGGCAAGCCGCAAGCTTGCTGCCGACGTTCTGGTGCAAAGACACGGAGGGTTTGGGGCGGTTCAAAAGCTGGAAAGTTTTGTTCACTTCACTGCGGGGCAAGCTGACCGCTAGGTGACCCGAACATATATATATATATATATATACACATACCCACACATCCACACACACACACACAGATGCTTATTTTTATTTGAGAACGGTAGTACAGGGAACCCAGGATGAGCCTTGGGTTGATTCATAGATGATTGTCATTTTTCAGCTTTCGCGTGCATGGTTCGTCTCAACACGGCAAACCACGAATCCCGCTTTGAAGCGCTTCCTCTTTCCCTCCAAACCCAGGGGCAGCTCCTCCTGAATTGGAGGGGGGGAAAGACCAAAAAAAAACACCGATCCCGCGCCAGTGACTCCACCTTCCCCCCATTGCTTTTTTTTTTTTTAAATGGGCAACCCACTTTAGGGTTGACCACCACAGCCAGTTGAGCCTCGGCTCCCACTGAAAGCCGCTTCCGGCTGGAATCGGTTGTCGTAGGAGCCTGGAGCAGCTGCTCCGGCTCCATGCGGAGACCGCCGCTGGGCTTTTGGTTTGGTGTTTTTTTCTTTGTGGGGTGCGGTCTCCAAAAAAAAACACATCTTTTTGGGGTGACAAGGGGAGTCCAAGAAAAAAGGACACCATAAGACATGGAGTTGTTTTCTTCCTTTCCGGGGTCATTCCCACTCATTCATTCCTTTTTTTTTGGTTGCGATAGGTCGTCTTCTCTTTTTTTTTTTTTGCGGATGGGGGGCCCAGGGGGAGGTGCAACATGTGGCCTTTCGGCCTCTTTTTTTGTAGGGCGTCACGAGGAATTTTGAAAACTCTTCAAAGAGGCGGTGTGCCGGTTTCATGTTGAACATTTGACACCAAGGGCTCCAAGGGTACAAGTGGGTGTGTCTTTTTCTTGGAGTTGGTACCTCCTGTATTTGTGTTTTTGAAAGGGAAGCCAAAAGGGGAACCACTCATTTTGAGGTTCTCCTTCAGAAAAGAGAGGCCCAATTGGTTCTGACGCAACCGCAACCAACGCTTCAAGGGTTGGAGAGTGCCAGGAATCTGACTGAACAGGCCACTAAGCCTGTTGAAGTGGACAGGTGAAGCTTTCAACCGGCTTGAGGTTACCTTGATGTGATTCAACCCTCCCGGATTCCGGTGGCTTGAAAGACAACTGAAGGATTCCCTCCCCAAGGCGGGATTTTCTGTGCTTGAGCTATGCATTGGCCGTTTCCACCGGCCAGTTGTCCAGTTCTGTCGCGGGAGGCCCGGCCGCTAACTCTCGCCCAGGCTGACATGTCTCCCACGGCGTGAAGATACAGGTGAAAATGCACCTCGGCAGTAACACGACATGTCGCAGCTTTCGAAAACAGGGCGCCCCCTGTGCTTTTGGTGGCCCTCATCAAGAGACCGTGGTTTTTTTCCCCTCCGTCCACCGACTTGATCGCTTGGTCAAT